GCGTCGGCGTGTAGCTCGGAGATGGCTGAAAGTGGGCAGCGGGGGTCGACAAGAACTCCTCGACGCTCGACGCAGAATGGGACCTCTGTAGGCTGTCCTGCGCTATGTCGGCGAGCGAGTCCGAGCCGGTGTAGAAGCAGAATCTATCGAAACGATCGGCAATGAGTCTCCGGCCCACAGCACGTACGGACGCCGACTCACCTGTCCAAGAACACGTTGTAGTTCGCGTCATCAACTGAGCCACGCGAACGATGCAGACTATTCTGCAAGAAGTTGAACATGACACTCTCGTCGACGGGGGACCCAGAAGGAGATGAGGAGCGTGACGACTCGGACGTTGAGGTGATGGACGGCGTCGACTCCTCGCTCCCGCCGCGCTCGATCCCCCATGGATTCTCTAATGCCTGCCCCTCCTCACGCACGCCGCTCGGGACGCCCGCCTCCTCACAGGTCGGGATGTGATACGTGTCGACTGAGTTGTACCGTGGTACTGCTTCGTCGCGTAACGATGCGGGGAACGACTTGCGTGCGCCTTTACTGCCGAAGGACAGCTCAAAGTACCCGCGCTGGTGGTTCCGCCCCCGCCGCCGCGCAAGCACGGACGGCGTCGACGACGGCGTGTCTTCAGAGTCCGAGCCGGCATAAAAAGCCGACGGCATGTGGTCGTAGTCGGCATCGATCCGCGGCGAGCCGCGAGTGACGAACGGCGGATCGACGGCGAGCTTCGAGCGCGTGGGGCTCGTGAGCGGTCGCGGTGCGAGCTGGTGGAACGGTGGGTGGGTGGCGGGATACGTGCTGGTGCGCGAGTGAGTCGGGGACGTCGGTAGGCCCACCTTCCATGGCGCCTTCAGCGATGCGGAAAAGTCGTACCTCGACGAGAGCGAGGTATTCGATCGGAGGTCAAACTGGCTGTTGTTATTCTTCGACGACTTGCGAAGGGGCCCACCCACCGTCTCGGTCCCAATCGCCACCTTCTCGAGCTTGCTCTTCAGATCAGCAATCCCCGCGTCCGTAACTTCCACCGTGCGCTTCTGCGGCTGCGACTGCGACTGCGGTTGCACCTGTGACTTCGTAAACTTCACGTGGTAGTTCTCCCCGCCATTGTTGTCCCACACCTCGCGCTCCGTGACTCTGTACCTGATCGCCAGAAACAGCGTCTTCTCCTCGATACGCGCAAGCATGTCGTTCAGGCGGATCGTGAACGCAAACACGTCGAACTTGCCCTCCTCGAGCGTCTGCACGTACTTTGCCGTCACCTCGCTCGTCGTTTGCCACCAGTCCAACGTGAACCGCACCGCGACCCACTTCTCGAACGCGATGTTGCGCACCCGCACGCGCCCGTTCAGGCACGTCTTGTCCGCAGACAGCAGGAGCTCCTCCAGCGCGACGTCCGCGCCGAGGTCGAGCTTCGCGGGCATGTTCGGCACCTCCATCGAAAGCGCCGTCTTCCGGTCCTCCCCAAATATGAACGTCGGAAAGTCGCTCTCCGTCCCACTTGTGTCCGTCGTTGGGCTTCCGTCACGGGATACCGCGAGTGGCTTCTGCTCCGCCAGGAACAGCTTCACATGCTCCAGCTGCGAGTCAAAGTGCACACTCTTGATGTGCGTCGGCGTGCACGGCTCGCTCCGGCTGCTGCTGGCTGGCTCGGTGACGACGGACAGGTCGTCCCGCACGTGCGTGCGACGCGATTTGAGCGACGACTTGAGGGGCTTGCGTGGGCCTGCAGCTGAGGACGTGCACAGAGACACTGTACGCGCTGCTGGTTCGGGACGCGTTGTCTGCGAACGTTCTGGTACGCCGAACGTAGTGGCGTATGAAGCGGAACGAGGTGGGGGACCGAGTCTGGACGTAGACGCGCGTGGGGTGTCCAGGTTGAAGGTGGGGGATGGCTGCAGTGGGAACGCGACCTGCTCCTGCTCGGCCCTGGCGCGGAACACGGCGGGAGTGGGAGTCGATTGCTCGGGGGGACGCATGGCCATAGTGCCACTGCGAGGGCGGCGGGGGACGAGAAACTGCACGGGTGAGTCTGACGACCCAGATGATCCAGAACTGCGCGAACAAGACTCGCGACGGCGGGAGGATGTCAAAGCGGGAGACTCGACGACGGCTAGAGCTGGAGGAGTCGAATTGGAGTGATCTGTAGAGTAAGAGACGACGCGAAGTGATGGCAAGGGTTGATTGGATAATGATGAACGAGACGCGGAGACGGTGCGCTTAGGAATGCGAGGAAGAGGTGCGCCCGCACCGTTCGAGTGGCGGGAGAGAGGGGGGTCCATGAGTGAGAAAGTGCTGAGGCTGACGGTGCTCATGGGAGATGTATATGCAAACACGGCCGACGCTGCGGACGGGTTCGGGATAGGATGAGCGTCATGAAAAAGGGAAGCAGATGGGGAGCACGCACGGACGTGCCAAAGGGCGGAACTTACTTTGGACAGTGACGTCTGGCAGGGCGTCAAGGCGATGGGGACGAACGGGCCTCGGGATAAAAGGTATAAATACTGAAGAAACGGAGGACCAAGTCGGAAGCGAGGCGTCGAGGGGGAAAGCGGGAGATCTGTCAGCAAAAAACGGTCAGCCGCGAGTGGCTGACAAGGAAAAAGCACGCTGACCGATTGACACGCAGGGGATGAACGCGAGAGATGCAAGGGCGCAGACGATGTATGCGAAAAGAGGCGTACGCGAAAAGATGAGATGGGGGAGTCGGCCCAACGTAGCAAGTCGGCGGATGCGAGAAGCCTGTTGATGTGGTGTCAAAGAAAGATACGCAGAGGGGAGGACGATGTTACTGACCCAGAGAAAGCAGAGGGTCAGGAGGAGGAGGAAGAGGGCGGGAGGAGGAGGAGGAGGAGGACGGGGCCTCTGAGCGACGGCTGCGTTGGGCGAAGAGACAAGGACGGAGGATTAAGAGGATGGAAGAAGGCGCGCACGTGAGCCTGGCCGCGGGTGCGAGCCAAGCGGTGGACGGGCGCCAAACCCTATCTCGCGTTTTGCAACTCCGCCGCCCATCTCGATGGATCTCTCAAATTTTGTCCCATTGAGCAGCGTCCCTGGACACATGTGCGTTCCCCACCAACGTTTTTCACCCACAGCTGTCCCAAGCCCTGGCTGCGCTGCGAGGACACCGTGGACGACGGCGAGCACAGCGGGGGCGATCTTATCGCGACGAATGCTGTGGCGGAGGACGGGCGAACCGCGTCCAGCCCGGGTCGTCCTCGACGCTGTTCTAGTCTCAGACTGCCCCTCTCCCTCCAACGCTATCTTCCGGCCTCGATCGCACGGCAGCGTCCGCTCTGCGCGGTGACCACCATCGCTGCGACACGTCCGACGTTGTGAGTTTTTTCACTAGAGTGGAGCAGACCGCGTCGTGCCGCTGATGTCCTTCTGCCTCGTGATGCGCTGCGACTGCACCAAACCTGGGCTGCACAACAACACACGGTCATTCCTGATGTCATCGCTCTCTCGCCTTGGTCTCAGCATTTGATCGGCTCAACTGTGAGTACATCGTCAGCTGATGAGGATGAGCTACATGATACAGCCTGCAACGGTAGTCTGCGATACACCTGCAACGGCCACGACCATACTGTTCCTCCGTCTACTTTGTCTCCGAAACGCAATTGCTGCCCGAATCTGCCCCCCACAGCCAGTCTTATCGCATTCAAACGCCTCCCGAACACGTCCATCTCCTCCATCCATCTCTCAGCTCTCTCCATCCTGTCCTACTTGCCTTTCCTCCCACTCAATCTCCTCACCCTGATCCTAGATCCGCGCAAGCAATTTCACCACGGGCCTGTGCTCCGAACTCAAATTTCTCCGCACGCACCGGCGCCCATCGTCCCCCCGCGCGATCTTCCATTCGCTACGGATCCTGCCCGCGCCACTGGCTTCCAGCTGCCTTACACAGGTCCCGTCATCCCTGTTCACCCCTCCGCACCGCCTTCTGCCTGCGCGATCGGCCCTTTTGCCCCCCGCTTTCGTGCGCACAAGCTGTGGCCCCGCCGACTTATCGGGCATCAGAAACTAACAGTACGGAGGTCCCCTGTCGGACCAGGCGCCGTCGTCGGGTCGCGGACAACCAAAATACTGCTATCAGACGTCGTCGCGCGCGTTGTGCCGGTGGGGAACGCATACAGTAGGGTCGCGCTCTCTGCCGATGTCTGAACTGAGTTATTATGCTTAGGCTCCTGCGGCGAGGGTCGACCACGCCCTCGAGAAAATGGTCTACGCCAGGCCGGGCGCGGCGCATGACCGACTCGAGGCTAATCCGCTACCCCTTCCGCATTCGAGCTCGGTTTCCACTGCGTGGGTTCGGTGGGCGTGCGGGATCTGGCCAGGTGCGGTCTCCGCTCGTACGCGTTCTCGCACGCGGCCGTCGACGGACGTTGGCACCCATTGCATCATCCTTGCGCCTTCTGCTCCCCCTCCTTCGCGCAGGTGGCTGGCCTACGGAGGTCCCGTCTGGGAAGGCGCCGGACAGCGCCGACGGTGACGACGCACAGACGAAGACAGCGCCCCCCGCGCACATCGTCGTTCCGAGCCACGCGTCCAGCCCGCGTCCGCAGGCCCCGTGCACGCACCGACTGGCGCAGCGCGCGGCCGCGGGCCCGAAAATTGCGGGGGGCGTCGCGATGCGGGGCTATATCACATATGGTCCCCGTCTCCACTGCGTCTCGCCGGTGCGGGGTGTCGGGCTCGTGCTGATGTCCGGGCGATGCGGCTGGGAGCGAGCGGGCGACGACAGATGACGAACGGCGGCGATCTCGCCTGCGCACACGCTCTTGGCCTGCGGCCCCGCCTGTCGCGCGTCGTACGTCCCTGGCGGACTCGAAGGAGGGCGATCCTGGCCGCTTATCGTGCGGCACAACCCCAGCCGGACCCGCGTGCGGTGGCGTATGTGCTGCACGTATGGGCCGGGACGTCTGGCGCTCTCGGGGCGACGCGGCTGGTCGCCCAAGCGTGCTCAGCTCAGGGTGCAGCGCTGAAAATCCAGCGGGCGCGCAGGGCCGGGGGCCGGGAGGCAGATAGTGTCGCTCTCCAGGGCCCGGGGGCGAGGCGGGAGATTCGCACGATCGCGGTCGCTGGTGCAGATGGTGTGAGCAGACTGCCGATGATGCGTTGCTGGGGGTATGGGCCCGGCCCTGGGAGCCGTATGACCGAGCTCATTGATTGCGGAGGTTGAGGTTTGTACGACGTGCGATCTTTGCGGGGAACCGGACGTGAGACGAGGGGCAGGAGAAATGTGAATTGGACAGATTTCGGTTTACAGGTATTCGGAACTTGTAAGCAGTACATACCCAACAGGCCCCATGGCCATGCTTTCTTTGCCCAATAAAGTGTGATAAAGGCTTTATCACCGAGCACTAGAATGTCGTCCTCGATTGCGTTTTACAGGTTCTCGGCAACTTTACAGGCATAGGATGGAATGCTTGGTAGCCGTCCGCGAGACACACCTCCGCACTGATCTCAACATTCAAGTTTGAAGCATCCGTGCAAGTGCGCAAATGCCCACTGAAGCAGGCGCTGGGGCGGCCGTCGATCAGGTTCGGTGTGGAGCAGCAACGGGTGTGTGATTTTAAGCAAGTATGTATGTATGTACGTACGTACGTATCACAGAGGTTCGCGGATCGTCGACCGACGACTGCTCACATGTATACACCACTCGACCGGTGACGCCCTCTTTGAACAGACGCGGAAATGCCGCCTGCGCGGGTGAAGTGAAACACGTAGGGCGGGGTGCGTGGACGCGCCTGGTCCAGCCTGGCACGATGGGCTGCCGGCGACACGAGGATCGGGGGCGTGTGCGGAATTCTGATGAGCGGGCGCGGGGGGCGTAGGTGGGTGCTTATAAGAAGGTGGGGTTGGGGGTGCTGGCGAGGGAGGGCCTGGCGGTGCGTCTGTACTCTCGAATGCGCGCGATCCGCTCTGCACGCTCCCAGGGGACGATTCTCGCCTGCGCTTTTTCGCAAGACGAGGCTGATGCGCTCGCTCTTCACGCACGCTGTTGGCCGGATGAACGTGGGATGCGATGCTGGCCCGGGGTGCGGGGCAGCGAGCGGCGGCTGTCGGGGCGCGCTCGGAGGGGTGGGTCGGGGGCGGAGGTGAGTGCGTCGGTGTTGTGCGTGACGTGACGACCTTGGCAGAGACGATGTGACAGACGGACCGGTGTGTGTGACGGGCAGCGGAAAGGGGAGCGCGTCCTTTTCCACGTCGACCTCCCGCTGTTGTTGCCTGTCCCCGGCATGTTGTGGTAGCACCCAGTGCGCTCGCCAGAGTCTCTGCGCTCATGTTCTTGTCTGTCTCCTAGTCTCAGCTCCTCTCCCTCTCTCCCTCTCTCCCTCTCTCTCCCTCTTCCCTGCCCGTCGGCAGCCCACCGGCGGTGTATCTCCTGTACTGCGTCAGCACGTTCGTCACCTTGCCCTCGATTGGTCACTTCAGTCAATTCTCCGAGCTCGCCCGCACAACCTCGGCCTGTTGGATACAGCCCCTCGCCTTGAAGGCCCTCAGGGGCATCTCATCCCACCTGTACCCCCCCTCTCCCTCTCTTGTATCATCCTCCCGACCGTCTCAATCAGCCCGGGATCGCCATCGTCAAACATGATTTCTAGCTGGACAAGCTGTCTCAGCTCGTCGCCTTCTCCAGACAACTCCTCCTCTCGTTTTGCCCACATCTCTGCCCTCTCGTCCTCCTCATCGATATGCTCCCCCGAGCCCTCCCCCCTCCCGTCCCCGTCCGTCTCTGTCCACTCCATCGGGAGCAAGACACATGCATTCTTCGGCTCTCCCTTTGACGGTTCTCCCGCTCCCCTTCCTCCCCCCAATCCCCACAAGCGGCCCCCCTCTCTCAAATCAAGAGCATCGATAACCTCTTTCGCGTCCTCGTCAACTTACAGTTCCTCCAATTCCGACTCGGAAAGCTACCCCCAGGCCGCCGACACACCGCGCCTCGAACACCGTGCACCCAAGCGCTCCCTCAACGACGACTTCTTCGGGCCCTCCTCGCTCCCTACCCCTCCCCCCAGCGCCGCACGCCTGCCTGGCAGCTCCCCCACCTCCCGCGACAGCTCCTGCTCTCCGCCCCCAACCCAGCGCACTCTCCCCTCTGTCACTTTGTCTCGCCTCTTTCCGTCCCGCAGACGATACGGCACCGAAGACCGCCCGGCCTATGACTCCCCCCCACCCCACAGGCGCGAATTCTTGACGCTCGACCCGGCCGCCTCTCCGCGCGAGTACGTATCGCCCTACGGCGATCACACGTTCTCCCCCGCGGTCGAGTCCGGTTCGTTCACACCTCAAGCAGCGTCTGATACGTCTGACATACCGACGCCGATGCCTCGCGATGCGGACCATGCCCGCACATCGTATATCTACCCAGCACCATTAATCCCTCTGCCCGAGCCCGAGACACCTGCGCGTATGGTGTCGCTCGAGCCGGGCGCCGTGCTCAACAGCACGTCACTGTCCGTGAAGCTCGAACGTGTGCTGGGACACGGGGCGTTCAGCAGCGTGTGGCTGGCGAGCGACGTGCAGGGGCAGCTCGGCGCGCTGGAGCTGTCGAGGAAAACGAGTCTGCTGAGGAGTAGAAGCGAGAAACGGGGTCGGGGGCTTGAGGGACTCCGGCCCAAAGCTAGGACGCACGGCGTCGGCGCTGCCATGCGGAGGGTAAAGAAGGTAATGACGCATTCGCGGGAGCTCAGCGACGAGAGCATCTGCCTGCATGATCCCGCCCTGGGCGTGAACGGTGCCCACGCTGCGTCTAGGACTCCCCAGCCGGGCAGGCTCGTTGCGGTCAAGATGACAGACCGTGCGCTCTGCGAGAAAAATTCGCGGTCGCGGGTGAGCTTTGTGCGGGAGGTCGAAATTCTCCGGGTGAGTTCCGGTTGGATTTGTGGGCTTGGACGCATCCGTTCATCTTCATTTTACAGCACATTTCACACCCGTCGATCGTCTCGTATGTCCACTCGTTCAGCACGCCGTCGCACCATAGTCTCGTGCTCGAATACGTCGGTGGCGGCGAGCTGTTCGATCTAATCGATAACGCCGAGAGCCATGCGTGCCTCGACGAGCCGCTCTTACGTCGCATGTTCGGCGAGCTGTGCAAGGCTGTGGGGTGGATGCATGGCGTCGGGCTCGTCCACCGTGACATCAAGCTCGAAAGTGAGTTCCCGCGGCGTATCACATGGCTTATCTCAGCTGACCGTGCTGACGATGGCGCAGACATCCTCCTTACCGCGTCGCCGTTTTCGTCTCCATTGCCCACGCCGCCCAACGCGCTCATCAAGCTGTCAGACTTTGGTCTGTCGCGGTTCATCGACCCGGCCGAGCCGCTGCTCACTACCCTGTGTGGATCCGAATCGTACGCTGCGCCGGAGCTCGTCACGGGGCGCGCGTATGACGGGCGGGAGACAGATGCGTGGGCGTGCGGCATAGTTCTGTACGCGCTCGCCACCCGCCGGCTGCCATTCGACCGGTTCCCTGCGCACGTCGCGTCTCGCGAGCGCGAGGACGAGGCGGGAAGCCCGCAGACGACCAGGGTGGAGCGCAGGGCACTGCTGGTGCGCATCGCCAAGGCGGAGTACGCGTGGCCGGCAGACGACGTCGACAGCGCGGTCGTCGTGGACAGCGTCGACGAAGAGGAGCCGCCGAGGGGCGCGGCGCTCGCGCAGTCTGCGGGCGTGCGCCGCGTGGTGGAGCGGCTGCTCGTGCGCGATCCGCGGAAGCGGTCGCGCATCGTCGATCTCTGGGAGGACGGGTGGATGCGCGGGGAGGGCGCGCCGCCTGCGCCGGCGGCGGTGGCCGCGGACGTCGACGCGCCCGGTGTCGGTGTCGGTGTCGACGCGGTTGAGAGCCCCGGTGCCGACGAGTGCGGTCCTCTGCTGGAGCTGCGCGACGGCGCGCATCCGGGCATCGAGGCGGACGAGGGTCTGGATGCGGAGGGCGACGACGAGGGCCTCATCGTGGACGGAGACGACATCGGCCCCGGGAGCGTCGCACACCAAGAGCACTAGCGTGCCACCCCGAGGCCCTGCGCCTCCCCATATATCCTGTGCATTTCCAAACACCACACCAGTTCATTCATGCCAACTATACACATGTTCACCGTTCGGCGCTTGTTTTTTGTCAGGACGGCCGTCCTGGCGTGGGTGCGCTGCCCCGCTCCTTGCTTGTGTGTTTTCCGTGTTTCCCCCGCTTCGGTCTGCATTCACGTTTTCACGTTGTCTATCTCCACCAATACCGTACTATAATACAATGTGTTTGTGTGTGTGTGTGTGT